TTTGTTTTCGTGATTGAGACGTTAACTATAAATGTCACATACACGTAAACGAGGCTCTGTAGCCAAAGTACTTTCCGGAAGGGTGTATTTCACAAGTTATATTCTTACTATGTGTGTTGATATGTGTTTGACGGTCAGCACGATAACTCAAAAACTACCAAACGTATTAATACGAGAATTTGTGAAACTAATGGACATTGCCGAAGGATAAATAATTTAAAGCAAATTTTGGTTGAATTTGGATGAAAATGGGAGGAGAAATTAGCAATAGTTTGTCACGCATTGCCGGGAAGAGTAAACTGAATGATCAATTAGCCCATTGTATAATTTATACATGACACATAACTTAATTCGCTGGCGGAGGTACACTGTATGCAGTCTCCGAGTGCCCTCTAATTTTAAATTACTTTTGTTCTTCTTGCATTCACTTTCAGTCACCAAATTATACGTAATGCAATTTAAGTTTCACCTATTCTAAATGTAATATTTTTTGTTTATATAGATGATTTTAGTAGTCCAGTGGTCAAGCGTTCGATAATGAATAATTCTGTTCCGACGAGTGCTTCTTTAATTTCTCACAAATACCTGCAAACTGTATATGTTGTTGATCAATATCTTTCGGCAAATCTTGGCCAATCTACTTTGGAGAAATTACTTCCGACGCTTGCTAATACAGTACGTTTTAGTTATTTTATTTTACGTCAATATAAATGGTAATCAAATATTGCATGGCGGGTTTCAGTGAGGCTGCAGGGGAGCAGATGGTGGTGACGAATTGTGATTATATACCACCAAAATACAAAACTTTACTATATCTATATATGACAATGGCGTGATTTTAAAATAAAGTCGTGAGAGCACGAAAAATATGAGGGAATTTGGAAACCGGGTTTGTATCTGGTTAGGACGAAGCGACCGGTTTTTTTTATAGTGGCCGGAAAACACACTATATGGATATTAAACACTAGGTCAAAACCGAGGAAAGCCATCAAACGAATTTTTTTAATAAAGCTTTTTCAATACTTCCTGACTCGAAAATAATGTTACGAACATGCATGCACTTGAATTAACAGTACTAGAATAACACTATAAAACGACAAGAGTAAACTACAGAAAACAGTACGAAAACAGCGTGTGTTCCAGACTTCCAGTCCACTACAGTACTATATATACACCTTATTTTTTCCACTTTAATGACTTTTGGCTGACCACCATCTGTTGAACGATGGTGCACAATTGAATGCTGGGATGCATGTTTGGATATAATTCACTGTGTCAGTGCATGAGCTTACAAGTCAGTGCCATAAGTCCTTTTGTGAAATTCATGCAAAATACAGCTTTGCAAATTTAGAGTGAACTATACTTTAATTCGATAACAATCAAATTCATAAAAGCTTATAAGATGTTTTGTAAGGAAAATAAGTTGTTGTTACTATAAAATGTATTCATTATACAATGCATTTTATTTCACATCATGCATACAAAATGAATGTATACAGCTATTGATCAACATTGTGCAAAAAGGAAAATATAAATTTCCATCTATACCGGTAGATGGCTGCGGCGTTAGACTTTACGTCCCAAAGCACGATCTAAGAACCTGAGGACTTATATTTATAAAAAAGTCACTAATATAAAATTAACTTCAAAAATTCTTCTCTTTATTAATTGCAGGTCGCTGGACGTTTCAGGGACAGCAGCTTTGGTTCAATAAAATTAAACTACGTATTGAACAAGATTATTTTCCTAAATAACGGCGAGGTACAATGTTACTTGTTACGCAACTTCAATGTTCAATCAATAATTACTCGCTGGGGCACTCTGTGCCCTGGCGAGTATAGGTTTCGGCACGCATTTTTAGTGGATCAGCAATAGTGGATCAGCAATAGTGGATCTCCAATTTTCTTCGATAGCCACAAAATAGAATATTAATGAGCTGCCTAATATCAAAATGGCGGCCTTTCGTGGAGTGGGCAAAATATTTCAAACAATTTCGTTAAAATTTTCAACGAATTGTACCTGTTTTTTATGGATTTTGCATTGTGTCTAACTCTAGACATTCTTGCTAGTTTAGTTGATGCATTTTTCTTGGTGCACGGCTCTGAAAATCCGAAATTTGGATCGTCGAATTCCCATGCACGATCATAATATTCATATAATATACTGAATCTGGATATAAACGAGCCAAAGGCAATTAAGACAATTTCAAGGTAAAAGGTTATAACTTACAATAAACTACACAACGTAGTTTTAATAGATAACTACTTTATGAGAAGCATATTAGTGTCATATCAATATAAAATTTATCCAACAACAGTCTCTATTAAATAGTTATTAGTTAATAGCTGTGGAAACGTGAAAACTGTAGTGTGAAATATAATGTATTCGTAATGCCTAATGGCGCAATAAGGATAAAAATACCAACGTTCGATTCAGCGTAAGAAATTGTACTTACGGATGTCAAATGTATTACTAAACAACAGTATTCTAGCGATTTATGGCCATTCAAAATCAAGCGAAATTGTATTGTTTACAAATCGCTCGCAGTACGTTTTCATGTTGACACTCACTCGCAGTACGTTTGTCCTTGACCAGCTTGTACTAAGTTGTATTAATGCCTAATGGCGCAATAAAGATAAAAAAAAATACCACCGTTCGATTCAGCGTAAGAAATTGTACTTACGGGTGTCAAATGTATCACTAAACAACAGTATTCTAGCGATTTATGGCCTTTATCTTTAAAATCCAAGCGAAATTGTATTGCGAACGAATCGCTCAAAACTATTCAACTAATTATAAAAAATGCAGTACGTTTGATCCTTGATAACTTTGGTATCGTTGGTTTTCTCTTTTTCGGCCGTATACCAGTGGATTTGTTTCACTTCTCTCTTCATTTTGATAGTATTTTGAGCCCAAAAGCCCCAAAATATTTTATTTTGAACGTAATTTTATTTTGAACGCGCAGTTTAATCCTAGCCGGTGGAAACGCCGGAAGTTTTATTTGCATGTCTGATTGTATAAAATCCTGAACTGGGTCATTATATTAACAGAAACTTCAAAACTGAGCCTCCTACCTGCAATACAAACCTAGCCAATTTGAGAGCGGCAGCACTCTCCCTTTGACAAGCAAAATCGACTGGTATGAGACATTAAACGATGGTTGTCGAATACAGCAGCATTTCACGACTCGTTACAACTTGTAAAGAATATTTCAACTTGTAAAGAATATTTCAACTTGTAAAGAATGTTTCACGAGTCGTGAAGGACTTAACAACAACAACAACGAGTCGTGAAGGACTTAACAACATATGACAACTTTCACGAGTCGTGAAGGACTTAAGAGTGCACCAGCCAAGTGGTGAACCTCACGAAATTCGTACGACTCGTTAAATCCGTGAAATTTGACGACTTGTGACAACTTGTAAAGAATGTTTCACGAGTCGTGAAGGACTTAAGTGTGCACCAGCCAAGTGGTGAACCTCACCAAATTCGTACGACTCGTTAAATCCGTGAAATTTCACGACTCGTGACAACTTGTAAGGAATGTTTCACCAGTCGTGAAGGACTTAAGTGTGCACCAGCCAAGTGGTGAACCTCACGAAATTCGTACGACTCGTTAAATCCGTGAAATTTCACGACTCGTGACAACTTGTAAGGAATGTTTCACGAGTCGTGAAGGACTTAAGTGTGCACCAGCCAAGTGGTGAACGTTACGAAATTCGTACGACTCGTTAAATCCGTGAAATTTCACGACTCGTGACAACTTGTAAAGAATGTTTCACGAGTCGTGAAGGACTTAAGAGTGCACCAGCCAAGTGGTGAACCTCACGAAATTCGTACGACTCGTTAAATCCGTGAAATTTTACGACTCGTGACAACTTGTAAGGAATGTTTCACGAGTCGTGAAGGACTTAAGTGTGCACCAGCCAAGTGGTGAACCTCACGAAATTCGTACGACTCGTTAAATTTAAATCCGTGAAATTTCACGACTCGTGACAACTTGTAAGGAATGTTTCACGAATCGTGAAGGACTTAAGAGTGCACCAGCCAAGTGGTGAACCTCACGAAATTCGTACGACTCGTTAAATCCGTGAAATTTTACGACTCGTGACAACTTGTAAGGAATGTTTCACGGGTCGTGAAGGACTTAAGTGTGCACCAGCCAAGTGGTGAACCTCACGAAATTCATACGACTCGTTAAATCCGTGAAATTTCACGACTCGTAACAACTTGTAAGGAATGTTTCACGAGTCGTGAAGGACTTAAGTGTGCACCAGCCAAGTGGTGAACCTCACGAAATTCGTACGACTCGTTAAATCAGTGAAATTTCACGACTCGTGACAACTTGTAAGGAATGTTTCACGAGTCGTGAAGGACTTAAGTGTGCACCAGCCAAGTGGTGAACTTCACGAAATTTGTACGACTCGTTAAATCCGTGAAATGGGAACGTGTGGAGAATGGGGACTAGTCACTAGTTTGTGCCTGGGAACGAGGATGATTCACAGCTTCACGCCGACATTGTGTGAACATGGATTCAACAACTAGGAACACGTTCGGTATTCGCAAAGTATATTTTATTTTACAGTTGTTAGGAGAAGGCTTTTTATATTTGTCCAGACTTAGTTCAATTGTGCAACGATATGTTTTGGGAAAGATGCCGCAGGAGGAGCTTAGCAATGAAGAAAAATTGTGTGCCGACAAGTTCGCGAGTGAGACGAGAAGTCTTATGTTTTTACATGGAAATGGTGTGCTAACTGAAGGATTGAAGGAAAACTTCAGAGTTTTCCATGATTTTTCAGTACGTTCTGGCGTTCCGATGGGAAGCGTTCTCATTACGAACAGAGATCAATGTCGCAAATGCACACGGGTATTACAAGTGGACGACAAGACACATGTGATTGTTATTTACCACATTTACTTCGGAAGCTATTTGGGCTCTAGAATCACAAAGTGGTGTCGTAAATGCAAAATTTATGAACACTATGGCTATTGGACGGAGGGTGGAAATCGCTATTTCAATGAAGATTGCTTGGAGCAAGATTTTTTATTGACATCGGAAGAGACTGCTTATCACATTCCATTGTTGGAAGAGTGTGAAAGCTTACTTGTTGTTGGAGCAGTGCCGTTTTCGACATTTGCCTCTTCATATAATCGACGATTTAAATATGCCAATTTGGAAAGTTCGTCACGAACCTTGAAAGTAAAACGTATGAAACGGTGAGTGTTTAGCCAAATTGTATTTACTTTAATAATTTGATAACACAGGCAAGCAACCTCGTTCCCAGGCTCTTTGCTCTTAGACATATGACCTTTGACTACCACTGTCAAACAAAATTCTGGTGCTGACTTCCTCACTATCATCTACTGGTAGTACATTTGCTCTAGCTGTCTGTAAAAGTATGCCGCTCCTATCGCAACTAGCATGACCCACAAAACCTTGAGTATCCAATTTTTCATTATTTTTATTATCTTTCTGCCCTGGAGAACTTTCTGTACGATTGGCTGGGGATGATTCACATATGGAAATATGGTGTTTTCCTGTCTTGCATTTCCTGCAAGTGTAGTTAGCTTTGCAATTTTTGGCAATATGTCCAGCCTCCAAACAAATAAAGCACCTTCTGTTTCTACGCAAAATAGCCTTACGTGACTGGACAAAGAGCCTGGGAACGAGGTTGACAGGCAAGATGAAACACGAGACAATGATAGACTGTGCACCCTAATATTGCACGAGCAGTTTTTAAAATAATTTAAATGTTTTAATGAGTACTGAAAACCTTAGTACAAATACAAGCGTAAGCCCAGGGCTTATATTTTTCGTAATTTTTTGATGATATGATATTATAGGGGCGGCTTATATATGCACAACATTTTGTGTTGTTAAAATTGATATTTATTGTAAAGTTCTGTGAATTATTAACTATTTTGTGAAGAAAACTAAATTAAAACATACGGTATATACTATAAGGGACTATTGGTATGACCCCGCTTACTGAGACGTCTGGCCTAGCGGGAGGAATATTTTTGTGCTGTGCGCGTTCATATGGAGTTTTTCATCCTGCTTGCTCAGATAAAATAACAATGTAGTTCTATAATTAGCGCTTGCAAAACATCAACATTTCAGTCATGCAACACAAAGCATTGTTTTAGCAGAAAAAGAAAAAGCATTGTTTTAGCAACATACTTAATAATTGTTTACAAAATAAACAAAAAAGTAAGAACGCTGGCGCTTAATGGGTTAACTGGCCTAATCTGCCCATGTCTTTAGTTAACCCATTGAGTTGCATTGAGCCCTGATGCGCCCTACTTTATTATTTTACTCTGTCGTACACCAGACGATTTTACTCGTCAAGGGGAGAGCGCTGGCGGTTAATTGAAGTTTTGTTGCTTTGCCCGTCGACGAATATGTATATTAAATTACACTTTAGCGCTACGCCTATAGTGAATTATTTGAGAAGAGAGCGTTTGGAGATCATAAGTACACCCAACTCGAAAATTGTATTATCGAGCAAGTTGTTATGCGTAACAAGCGAGAGGTCTTATTAGGGCTCCTCGAAAGGTTTTGTGTCACATTTCTCGCTCGAACATTCTTGAAACTCGCTCAAAAAAGTGTTAACTTTCCATTGGGCGGTACTGTAGCTTAAACTGACTAGTTTGCTACTAGATACACGCTACTTTGATGAGTATAGTCAGTGGTAGAATATTGTCACTTAATGGGTTTGAGACCATTTAAGCTGTCAATGTGTGTAGGTATGGCTATCTTAACATTTTACTATGTCTTAAGCTGGTCTAAAATGAAATGATTTAGTTAAAGTTGTGAACACAGGATGTGGTTGCCCAATCACAGAGCCAGAGGCTCATTGTAATTGTTTACGAGTTGTTGTCATCTTACATCCCTTTCATTTCTTAGTTGATTTTACATAAAGATAATTGTAGGAATGAGCTGATGAAGTATAGCAGAGACCTTATAAAGCACCTTTCTTGCTTGTTCAATGTTCCTCTGAATTATATTTCAAAGTTTAATAGTCTGATAGGCGATCACAAAATTTAAAGGTATCAGAATAGTATAAATAAGAATTAGCTATAATTACTATCTTGTTTGAGAATTTGTGTGCTTTGTAGGTATCAAAAATTTCTCCTGAAATAAAATAAATGTTCTCCAAGAAAAGCAAAAGTGATAGACTGCTGTTTAACCCATTAAGCTGCAGAGCTTCCCCATTGACGAGTAAAATCGTCTGGTGTTAGACAAGTAAAAAAAATAAGTAGGGGGCACTGGGGCGCATTGCGGCTCAATGGGTTAAACATGAGAACATATCACTTGTAAGGCATATTAACATATTTTTACAGTACTGACCTCCCAGCTGGTAAATATCATGCACTAATATATATTTTTATTGAACACAGTGCTTCTGCTATACAACAAGAAGACCTTTTGAAAGTTAGGCAGTGTATGGACAGACGAAGGCTGGAAGAAGGCTTGTTACTGTTTGTTGCACTACATGTGATCATGGAGTACAAGATTGATGTAAATAGTATACCATATAACAAGGATAGTTTGCTGCAAAGTGTTTGTGAACAGTATGAGAAGGTGTTCTATTGCAAATGGACAGGTATTGTTCAATGTTTACTTTCAGAATATAGTGATTGTGTTGCAAAAATTGAGATGCAAGCACATGTTGGCATTACCATAGCAACGCAGCTAAAAATGTTGAAATGCGGACATTTGGTAAGGTGTTCTATTACGGAACATTCATGTCCATGGCCATGGTCATGAAATTAATTATCATTTCCATTTAAGGACTCCAATGTCGCCAGTACTGTAGTCTGTATAGTCTCGGTGCGGTGTTAATTATACATGTAATCAGTGTCTATATTCTTCTTTCCAGTATATCGCCATTCGAATAATTTTAAATGATTATATATAAAGTTGACATGCTTAGCTGCTTGCTTCAAATGTCCAAATGTTCATTACTATACTAACTTAAATTCTGAACCTATGAACCCAATTCAAGCATTTTTAGATTGGTTGTTCCATCAGTAATACAACATATAAAATTCATGTTGTCATGAGAAAGTTTTACTCTACTATTTGGCGCTTTAAAGGACCATGTTTATATATTACCGTAATAGAACACCTCAGCAAGTGTCCGCATTTCAACATTTTTAGCTCTGTTTCTATGGTAATGCCAACATGTGCTTCTAGGGCTGAAGTCGCAGATTGTTTTATGGTTTTAAATCATTAGTTAACTATTAGTCTAAGAATATGAATGGATGCACCCAATTTCATGTTTTACTCTGTGTACTGTAAGGTTGGATATTTTAGTTGAGCTATCACCTAAAGCCAAATATAGGTGTGGTTGAGAGGGGGTGGTATAATTCATATGGTCACTATAATTGTTCATTGTGTGTGAAAAGTAATGGTATATTAGCTAGCGTTTGAGATTTTGGGACATGTTTTTAAATTGACAGGCCCTGTGTAATGCCCAACCCATAGTAGAGACATAATTGCAAACCCAAATCATGAGTCCAGTGATGCTTGTGTATGCAACAAGGGTAACATAAGCTCATAACTTACACTAACATTTTAAAGAGTAATTTTGGGGACACTTAATTGCCATTTTATTTGGTGTAAAAATGTAAAGAGCGATGCTGGAGCAAGTAAAATTATGGGAGGATTCTGGGCATGTAAGTATAAGAAACTACTAATTATTACAATAAACTTGCAGACCATGTTTGTGATACTCCTGGATGCAGAAATGTTCTGGTTATTGATGGAAATATGAAAAACGCTAGGCAGGTCTGTTCCTGTACTAATGTTGGAGAGCTGCAGTTTGAAGGTTTAGAAGGCAGTATTATAACAGGTACAGCAGTATTAAGTTTTTTGTATTTTTTGGTTTGTGAAATGACCTCATAAGTTTATTATAGCCATATACCATTTGTTACACAGTACCTTATTACACTATTAAAAAAGGGGGGAGGTGAGCGACAGGGTGTGTAGCGCCTCCGAGCAAGCTACAGCAGGGGTCTGGGGCACAGTTTGACATTTTTGGTCTTATTTACTTCAAAATCCTTGTTTTTAGTCTTATTAGTTTAAAATCTTTATTTCAATCACACTAGTGTCATTTATCCCAATGATTTATCCCCCCCCCCCCTGAAACTCCGTCTATGTCAAGGAGGAACCAAATGGTGAAGAAAACATGGGAATATAACCTTCATTTGTGCAAACCTTCAAACGAGGTAACTAGGTCAAAAGTGAATAAACTTTGGAATAAGCAGTAAGGTCTATTATGTAAAAAGGTATATGTGCTATTAAAGTTATATGTGCTATTTCTATTATTTTGTGATATTTATAAATTGTAAGTCCTTATTACCTTATTTCCAGTAATAAGGGAAAGCAAGTGGGAATTTCAGCCTAATTTTGGCATCATTTGGCTAAGGTTTCAGTGACTTGTCAAATTAACAGAAAACTTTTAATTGTATATATACTGTAGATGCGGTTGGATTTTATGTCAACCAATCATTGATTAGATTATTTATATAAGCCCATCGATTATGGATGTGTGTAAACGCACACAAGCCGATTTTAGTCGGCCGAGTAAAATCGTTACGTGGCAATGTAATTTTTAAACGATTTTAGTCGGCCTACTGTAATCGGACAATATCAAAACTGTTTGATATTGACCGATTAAAATCGGCTGACTATCGACTTGTTTGAGCCATGCTTTACATTACCTACATTACCGTTGCATTAACAAGACATGACAATATGTCTGCGGTAGTGCAGATACAAAACCATGAACAGTAGACCCTCTCGTATTTCAACGAACACTCGCGCATTGCCTTAGGGAAGTCTTAGGAAATATATGTGTAACCGTGGTTCTATGTTTTATGAAGGTTGTCAGAATACTCCGGGAAAGTCTTCAAGATTCTGTGCAGAACATGAAGATCTTGCTTGCAAGTTTAAGGATGACTCTGACAAGATGACAGGAGAAGCAAAGGAGATGTTGCCTGATGTTGGCAGTAACAACGCTGACATATTACCTGTGAAAATACTCAATGATAAGCAAACACGTAACGGGAAATTCTATGAGGTAAACTTTAGGCAAATAATTATTAATGAACTAAAATTAGCAGGGCTTTGTGCAAGGTATTGTAAGTGTAAATTTTTATATATTTTGTGAAAAGGAACACTACAATGCGATGTAATGTTGGGGTTGTGTTTAAAGTGGCTATATGCAATAAAAACTTTTATAGTTGTATTGCAAAGTTTATTTAAAATGATAACATAACATAAAATTTTGCTATCTTTTCTACATGTCAAGATTTTCAACTTTGATACAAATGTATCTTAAATGACGTCACACTGCATAATGATATTCTTACAGAAATGTTTTTGCTTGATAAAATTACCATGGTCTCAAATATAAGATCTAATTAATAGCTTTGACAGGTCGTTCAGTATATCACTTTCCATATCAGTGGCGTTATCACATGTTTGGAAAGGCAAAGCTTTCTTTCTAGCAACTCATCATGCTTTGTAACGTCATTTAAGTCATATCGCATGTCAAACAATGTGCAATAGAGAGCTTAAGCAAGCGACGTTTTTGACAACACCACAGAGTAGAGATATACAGAGAGGAAGCTCCCGGCAAATTATGTCAGGCACTTTTACCAATATATTAACTATTGGAAATTATATTAATTCACCATTTTATTAAATTTTGAAATTGGAGAGGAATGAAACTATACATATTATAGAAGTATTCATGTATACGAGAGTTTACATTTTGAGGAATTTACATCATTCGCTGCTTTGTTATTTATACATGATCGTCTGGAATTCCTAGCCCGTGCATTTCACGATTTTAATAAGGAGTGGATAGGGAAAAAACAAACTTTTGGTAAATAAATTGTTTTGTTAACACTTTTAATAAAAGGAAATGAATAAAAGTGATCGCTTACCGTTATTCTACAATAATTTATTTAACACAATTTCCATGGGTATCTCATTTATTTAAAAAAAGCGATTTTCAATATAGGCATTTTCCCTATACTTTGCTATGAAATTTCAGCGACGGCACTGGCTGGCAAATTTTGCCTGGAGCGTGGAAATGACGTTCACGCGTGACGCAAAAATTGAGGTTATCGACTAAGAGTTTCCTCTCTGTATATCTCTACTCTGTGACAACACGGACGCCAACCGGAAGTCAATCGAGCCGTTAGAGATGGCGACAGCCGTTCTTCTTTGAAACCACGAACGTGAAACTTCATTGACTGTCGTTCGTCATTTCAAACAAGAAAATAGTCAACCACAATGCATGTTTACCTCTTACCTTGAAAGTCATTCAATAGCAACAAATAACGATTATGAATTGTTAAACTTTGTCAAAATAAATCAGTTAAAATGAGCAAGTATAACCATATGATAGTTGAAATATATGATGGGTTGAAAACCAAAACATGAATTAGTCCGCCAATAAAATGGCCGCCAAGCATTTTTTGAGCGCGCAATTCATCGTGGTTGACAATGATTCTTTAAGCTCTCAAGCTAACAAATATTTAGAAAGTAAGTTATGATTTTTAATGATTTTTGCCATTCACTTAACTTAACTTAACTGAAAAATACAATGGTTCGGTTAAAAATTAAGCAAGGGTGAGCGTTGATGGAGGTTTTAACATTTTTGATAATAAAGGTATTGTGGTCCAATTCCTGCAAAAGTTGGATTAAAGAAGAAAATTTACCCAAAAAGGTGGTGGAATTTATAAAGAAAGGAGAGGAATATGGACAAAAAAAAGTATGTGTTACTGAGTTTGGGCAGAAGAGACGACGAGTATTAAAAATGGATACAAGTGGGGAAAAATCGCGTGCATAATTAATTATGCATTCAGATTACTAATTTACATGCTGCGTTTTAAATGTACCTTCACTAGACCAATTGCGAAACTTAGTGGGCGCGCCTTCATACTGCACGAAAACGAGGCTCATTATGCAAAAACAAAACAATTTCTATATTTTTCTATAGCGAAAGGTGAATTTTAGGGTTTTAAAAGTGTTTTTTCTTTAATCTCTTTGATCTTTTCTTAATATTTCTGCTAGGTTATATAAATATTTGTTAAATTTATCTAAACATCGATTTCCCACTATATTTTTACTCGCTTTGGAAAGATATTGCGTTGTTGTTTTAGCATGCGATGGAACAAACATATCGAAAAGATCAATCTAGACTTTAAAATCTGATCAAGATGCAAAAAAATAGCCAGAATAACTTAACAAACTAAAGTATAACTCTTTCTACCCAGATTTTTTTAGACTTCGTGCGAGAAAAAGATTTTGTCAAAAAATAACATACTAAATTCATAAAATTTCTACAAGTTTTGCCCGACATTTACTTTCATATTTTTAAAGTTAAAATCGAAAACTTGCTATTATATTACAACTGAAACAAAATTAATCAATGTTAGAACTTATTCTTTGAAATGTATTAATAAAACAGACGGAAAATACCTGATTCTTTGCCTGGCATAATCTGCTTCTTTTATCGGACGGCGAAAAACTGCAAAACATTGCCTCGCACGCCGCGAAAAACAATGAAATTTGAAGTAAGACTAAATCGATGAACAAGTTTAGTAAAGATTTACATAGTCAAAACAGAAATATTGAAAAAATGAAGGGATTACCATAAAAAACACGTCTCAGTCAAACACTGAAATTCATTTTTCGCCGTATAGAAATATAGCAGAATGATCTATGAATTGTAAATATATAGTGTAATGTACATTATACTGTAGCGCAACCTTAAAATCTGAAAGTACAGGGATGCATTACTGTACAAGTCGTGTAAACATGGACCGTTCTCTGGTTGCAACTAGTAGTGTTTCAAGGTGTTTAGATTACAGTCTGTATTGGGTTAGTTGATGTTAATATCGATCCTGCATTTTAATATAATATTATGGTTAGAAAGTCGCCATTCAAAACGTGCATGTTTTATCTATATATTCCAGGTAGTTTTACAGATTGAGCCAGAAGTGTATACATGTTAATATTTTAGGTCTGGTTTTGCAGTTGATTTTTCAACTGATGAACAGATTGAAGATGAAAAAGGTGTTAGGAGTTTATCTTGTGGCACCGAGAAAGGAAAGCATAAGTGCAAGAATCACAGAACGGCAGGTGGGTCCAATCTGTAATGTTATGGTAAATGATTCGGATTTTGGCGACCTTATCACATATTAATTATCTGTACAGATACATATTTGTCAAATTCATATTGCTCGGTAAAGAGGTGTTGGTACAAATCACAAGAACCGGGAGATTGCTTACGGCCGCAATGAGTGATGCATTGTAATTCCGTAAATTCTTGAAAACGTTATAATTATTAACTCCTCCATATGTTTGCTTTTTATGTTATGTGTTCAATCGAATGTTGGATACTTGCAAGCGTGGCCTGATGCAATTAAACTTTGGAGTGATTTTTTTATAAAGGTGTGTTGGTGTTTGAAAAGCCTTGTGGTGTTGTAGTTGGTGTCCGTGAGTTGTTTGGGGCGGAAAGCAAAAGCCAAGTGTATGGACATCTCCATACTCTTTTTGTGAACGGAAAGATAGGTGACGTTGGTTAGTATTATTTCTCAGTGTGGCTAAAAGTGCAAGTCTCCCACAGCATATAGTTACATACAGTTTGAAACACGATCTATAGAGATCAGTTGCGATCTTCGCCAGCTCTCCCGCGGAAAGTTTTTCAGTTATCGGAGAGGAGTGTATCAAAAAGTCGAGGGTCGAGAGTAAAGGTCGAGAGTCGAGAGTAAAAGTCGAGAGTCGAGAGTAAAAGTGGTCGAGTCGAGAGTAAAAGTCGAGAGTCGAGAGTAAAAAGTCGAGAGTCAACAAAAATGTCATCAGAAACAACAAAGTCAAAATATTTTTAACACAATATATAGCCATTCCGTAACAACGGCTGAACTGCATTACTACAAACTTTCGCATAAAATTTTTTACGGCTACAATAACAGTCAATAATAAAAACGTGAACAAAAAAGACTGGATACGAAACTAATCAGTATCATGTGTGATGATTTCATCTTGCTAAATTTTTTAACATGTCATTTCATCAAATTTTGCTGCCTTTCAATGTAGACACAGGCGGAATTTTGACAGCCAGTACTTCCGGGCTTGTAACCTCGCTCACGGTATAAACTAGCATCGCTGCCGTCACAGATGAAACATTGTCATTCTCATGACAAAGTTCAATGTTTTTACCGAGAAACTTCAATGTTTGTGATAATCATTTGATGGTTTCAATGGATGATTCCAGCTATAGACTAATTTTGATCTAGGCAAGAAGAACAAAATCCATATTTGGGCCGAAAGTGGTGCATTTTCCCGCGCGTAATAGAAATTAGTACAAAATTTGCAAATTTCGAAGGGCTATATTTTCCGCATTTTACAACATTTCTCGCGGCCAAACTTTGTAATTTTACTAATTTTAACATGCTTTTTTTAGCTGTGGTGATGGATTTTATCCTTCTTGCCTATATCAAAATTTGTCTACAGCTGGAACTATCCGGCATTCTCGGTAAAAACATTGAACTTTGTCATGAGAATAGACAATGTCTTATCTGCGACTGTTCATCGTTAGTTGCAAGCGACGGTAGTTACAAGCAAGGTTACAAGCGGCCCGGAGCTGGCTGTCAAAATTCCGCTTGTGTCTACATTGAAAGGCAGCAAATGAATTTGATGAAATAACATGTTAAAAAATTTAGAAAGACGAAAGCATCAGATGTGATATTTAGATACATTATTAATTCCGTATCCGGTCTTTTTCACAGTGACCTTTTTTGTTCACGTTTTTATTATTGACTGTTATTGTAGCTATATTTATGCGAAAGTTTGTAGTTCAGCCGTTGTTACAGAACGGCTCAGATATTGTGTTAAAAATATTTTGACTTTGTTGTTTGTGATGACATTTTTGTTGACTCTCGACTTTTGCTGCCGACTCTCGACTTTTTGCTGCCGACTCTCGACTTTTTGCTGTCGACTCTCGACTTTTTGCTGTCGACTCTCGACTTTTTACTCTCGACTTTTACTCTCGACTCTCGACTTTTACTCTCGATTCTCGACTTTTACTCTCTCGACTTTTACTCTCGATTCTCGACTTTTACTCTCGACTCTCGACCCTCGACTTTTAGATACACTCATCGGAGAGTCATAAATACTGGGGTTTAAATTTGACACGAGTATACGAGATTCGTCATTTTCACGCATTGTACGTAGTTATCGGGCTTTCAAGTAAGAGATTTTTCATAAATTTCGTTATCAAAAGCCGGCGACAACGACTTTCGCGAGATGGCGTAAGCAAACAACAGGGGTTTGGCGGGAAAAGGACGAATCTCGTAGTCCTACTCGTAGTCGTCAAGTGTAAACCTTGCTAATCTCAATACGGTGACGTGCTGCAGCGCACTGTCAAATGTTGGGCTACTGTGTTTTAACATAATTTTTGGAGCGATTTTTCTTGCATCTCTTTTCACGGTGAATTGTTTTTCAAAATATGTACAATTGTTAAACAAGGCAAAATGTCAAAATTATTTTGTCTTGGAAGAATTGTATTCAAACTTGTATTTAACACTTTTCCCACAGTCCCACTGATGTGGGAAAGACTTGTATTTATGAATCAAAATTGTATTTACACCCATTTTATAAAATTACACGACCAGACTGAAAATCGGTAAAGATGACATGACATTTATAGAAGTTTCAGTTTTGTGGTTCGTTGTCGATGTATATGCTCTCTCTCTGTACATGCACCTTAATGTCTTTAATCTTTATATCGGAAAGTTTAGAAGGAATTTTAATGATAATTAATTGCAAAATTTAAGCACAACAAAATCATAATATACCGCTATATTCTAGTGCAAGCAGATTTGATACACAGTTTAATTCGAGGTTAAATTGTCAGTTCTTTTTCAAACTTTAAAAGTCATTCACGATACAGATTTCTGTTGTGGTGGTTTTGTTGTTTCTTTTAGTTTGTATATCTAGCTCATTTTTGTTAAATATTCATCTTTAGGTATTAAATACGGGTTAAGAATGCCTTTTGTTTGCGTTTGCTATTTTTAGCAGTGCCGCGTGACATAAAACCGAAATTTGAAGATTAAGATTATATTTTATAAGAATATTTATATTTTACTACAAGTTATGTTCAATTTATCAATTCAATTTATTTTGGTTGTCTAGATATATAAAGTGCTCAATACTAAAAGTATAGCAGAGCTTATTAGATTGCCTATATCTTAAAATTAAATATCGCTACTCTGAGTTTCACGTCCTTTCTAGACGATCATCAGGCGATTTTGTCAAAGATTAGATACTATAAAGATGTGTCGAGTGATATATATATATATATATATATATATATATATATATATATATATATATATATATATATATATATATATATATATATATATATATATATATATATATATATATATATATATATATATATATATATATATATATATATGAAAGTCTGACTTCGGTTCAAAAAGTGAAGCCAAACATGGCAGAAATTGACGGCATTGTTGCGCGTCATTTTCAGTCCCCTACGCACGGACGCGAGCGGTCAGACTTTTCAATTGGCCTAACGCATAAGAGAGTGAAACAGACGCGAAAGAATGGCTTAAAGTTTTTATTTACACAACAGTTAGAAGTCAGCCTTCCATTTATATATCACTGAGTATAAATACCAAATAACCTCTGCGGAGGAGAGAGACTTTTAATAGTATAGGTCTGCCTTGTAAATTAGATAAAGATTACAGATTGGGTGCTCTGCCTTACCCTGTTATTTATAGTTAAGATAGCAGTTATTTATCAGATAACACAGCTTTATAAAAAGCAAGAAGTGATGTCGGTTTATAAATATTCTTATTAAATTGTGAACAATGACCTATAGAACAATATTTGCCATTTCTACAGATGTGTTTATCATACAATATGGATATATAGTCTGTACCTCAGTCTGTACTATTATTATAACATAAAGATAAATGAAACCCTTTTGTTTGGGTGGATAGCAATCCTATTTCTATATCAGCAAGATCGCTTTGAGTGTATATAACTGTTGATCGAAATATTATGATGCGACCAAAGGAAGAAAAATAACACATTTTTCATTGTGCAAATAACAAAGCATACTTAATCATGTATTATAATTAAAAGGTCACTGACACTTAGTGAGAGATCACATAATGATTGTATACCATAAATCCCATGAAGGTATTACCATTATGGCGCTAGACTGTGAGATTGCTAATTTTGAGTATTTTAACCCAAACTTTACACCTTCATAGATTCAGCGAAGAGCCTATGACCAACCAGGAACATCACCGTGGCGGCACAGTTACACTCGATAAGTGTCAGTGAGCTTTTAGTTTTAGAGTACAGGCGTTAGTTATTATCTATATTCTTTTATCTTCCTTCATGGGTTATCTTCATTTGTTCGCTTTATTTTTGAAGGAGAGGAAATTTCCATGGTGGATTTTGTGGTATATTCCAATTGATGTTTGTCTCTGGCAAAAATATTGTAACAAAAATAGATAAATATATTGTTATTGAAGAGATATACCATGCATTTTTGCATGCAGAAATCCTGGTGAACTTGGTTCCTTTCAAAACTGTTGACAGGGAGTGGTTTCGCATTGGGGCAGGCAGTCAAACGTGCAAAACAAACCTTGTATGGCATTCACTGTTGTATGCTTCGGTATACTCCTTCAAGTCCAGACAAAATTTTGCCAATTCCTGAACAAAAGCCGACATTGTGTCGCTTTCCCTTTCTGGTATTTCTTCTTTAACGAAGAAGAAAACCTATAAATAGAAACGATCAAAACAAATTTATAAATACTAATATAAAAATTATATTCCATAAACCTGTTGTAAGGCCCCGTTTACATGAGACCGGGACGAAGTCAAACCGGAATGAAAATTGAAATTGTCAACATGTTTACATGAGACCGGTACAAAGATCACAAAATTTTCAATTTATTCCCCTTGTCAGGCAATTTTCTTTTTCAGATGGCTTTTGCTAGCATGTGTTGTTCCAGTGTCAAGGTTACAGCCGAGACCGGTCTGAAATGTATTTGTGTTTACATTCATCCCGGTCTGAATTCATGCCGGTCTGAAGTCAGTCGGTTCGGTCCAGCAGGCGGAATGACTTGAGACCGGTCTGAGTTATTTTCGTCCCGGTCTCATGTAAACATCTATTATAGATAATACTATGACCGAAACGAAATGGTGCCGGTTTGACTTCGTTCCGGTCTGATGTAAACGGGGCCTAAGTTAATGGCGTTTGATTTGAACTGTATATATTTAAAATATATTAACAGTGGTTAGCCAAAGATTGGTTTCCCAGAAAACAATGATTCCTTAACTAACTAGGAATTCATACTATCTTATTGTGATTTCAGTCTGTGATACAGTATATTGAATAAACTCAAGATCAATCGGCCATTGTCAACAAAACTTCCAAGCAATCACATTTGTTGAAAGAGAGAGATTGTCTTTCAATAAAAAATATAGTATAGATTATATTGTATGAGACAGTACTGGCACATACACACACTTCACTTGAAAAGTTAAGGCTAAAAATCCCAAAATTGTAAGTAGGCACACAGCGATAGTTTATAAAATGCGCAAGGAGTTATAAACATATTCAGTTTATGCCTTACATTTTATATCCTAAATCCTTAAAATCCTTATGTATGTTGCCTCACCTTTGATTTATTGGATGGAACGGTGAAAGTCTGCAGCTGTCCTAAGGGGAGATTTCGCATATTGTCGATGATGTACTGCATCAGTAATCTCCCTTTAAGTTCATAACCATTCTTTCTAAAAGTTCCTTTGTAATTTAGAATAGTGAAACTTATCACTCTTCCGGGAGTGAGTAGTATTTCCTTTATCAATTCATTGCGTTTTGAGATAGGAATTTTACCATTCCCTCCAACATCATCATCATCATCATTCTCATCCATTTGTTCGTTACCATTTCCATCGATGGACAAATTTCTATTGTTTAATATGCCTAAAACAGAAAAAAATTAACGGAGGCTTTGCATTGTAACGAGACAAAATTCTAAAAACTTAAACGTTGATCGCAAAACGGAAAGATACAAAGATCGAATTACACAGCAAAAAAAAACATTGAAACTG